AAATGCACGTTAAACAAGAACAATCATCCCCTATCCCTAGCAATCATATTCAGCTACGTAAATCAAATTCAATAAACATAATCATTCTTCTCAAGCTAACCATTATTCATGAATTAAACAAGAGAAATAAATACTTACAATCAATCCAAGTTCCAAAGTTGAATTTGAAATACAAGCTTAATCCCTAACTAAGAAGAAGAAGAAGAAGAAGAAAAAAATTGGAAAATAATGGTGAAAAGAAGAAGAAAAATCAGGGAGAAGAAGAAGAAGTGAGAAGGTGGAGAAGAGAGTGTTCTTGGGACCTAGGGTTTTCACCCCCGGGCGAGAGGTAGTCCAAGAATTGAGAAGAAAACGAGTTTTTGAGGTTTTTATACTATTTTGGGACCTGCAGAGGGCCTTAGCGCCGCTAAGGGGGTTTAGCGGCGCTAAGGGATGAAAGCTGCGAGCCTCTGGGGTCGTTAACATGGTATAGCGCTGCTAGATAAGTCAGCCTTAGCGCCGCTAAGGTGTCTGGGCAGTGCAACTTTGCATTTTTGGCTCGTTCAGGCTCGTCCAAACTCGGAATTGAGTTCCGTTTTTTCCTACGCGTCGCTAACGAACTCCTCTATTTAATTATGCTTGCACGATAAGCTTTTTCCCATAATTAGGTCCTCCCAAAGCTTCAGACCTACACACCAACAAACAAAGAAAACTGGAAATATACACGAAAAACACAAGAAAAGACCAACTGAAGGAAATTACACAACCAAATACAAAACACACTAAAAGCGAAAGAAAAGAACTAAAATGGAGGCAAAAAAAAGGAAAAATAACAAGAAAAAATGCAACAAAAATGGGACAAACAAGACTCACAACCATTATTCAGAAGCATATCACACTTACTTATATTTGAAAAATGTGACCTACTCCATTGGCAAGGAGGCTTATCACTGAACCATGTAAATGATCTTTCATTCAGTTCCTTAAGCACTTCCATTTTTCTTACAAACTCAAGAACAGTAGTAGCTCTTGCAGCATTCCACAAGGCTGTTTTATATGCTTGTCCTCTCTGACCAGCGATGCTAAAATTCGAGTGCAAGTGCCTAACACAAAATTTGTGTTCAGCATTTGGGAAAACTTCATCAAAGGCTTAAATTAGGCCTTTTTGTTTATCTGACATGAAAGTGTATTCATAGTCAGTTTGGAGCTTCAAATCCAACTTTAACAAAATCAAGAACCACTCTCGTGTGTCATTAGTCTCTTTTGAAACTGTTGTCATTGCCAATGGGAATATGTTGTTGTTGGGATCAACTGTAATTGCTGTCAAGAGCACACCTTCATGGGGTCCTTTTAGAAGACAACAATCTACACCAATAAAAGGTCTATAACCACCCACAAAACCATCTTTCAATGGTTGAAGACACAAATAGGCTCTGTCAAACCTCTTCATTCCATTTTCTAGCTCAGAACCAATAATGATAGTGGTCCCAGGATTGGTCCTTTTCACCTCTTCAGCAAAATTCCATAGAAGAGAATATTGTTCATCTGCATTTCCTTGAAGGGCTTCTACTGCTAGCTTCTTAGCTCTGTATGTTTGAAAATTACTAATTTGTACTCGAATATCATCCATTACATTTGCCCTAAAACCTTTAGCCTTCCTAGTAGGGTCTGAGTTGAACCTCTGAGCATACTTAGTAGACAACCAGCTTGAAGTTAAGATTTTTTACCTTGTACGAAGGAACACATGTATGTTCACTAACATAAGCCCTTATCTTAAAGGTTTCTTCATCACTCAGCTTTAAGGCATGTAATTTCCACTTGCACCCTTCACCTGTGCACTTCGCATACATCCTCATCTTGTCATTCTTAGTTATCTTGATGGTTCTTTTTGTGTTGATGGCATGTGAGTGAATCACTTTTCTAAGCTCCGATTTAGTAGAGAAAACCATCCCCATGACGAAATTAGGGTTAAATATGTGAACTGGATTGAAACTATAGAATCTAGTTCCTTCTCCTTCACTATCTGAACCATTGAGACTAGCAAGATCATCATCAGTTGGGATTAAATCCTCCTCCTCAGATTGATTTAAATCTTCATTAACAGCCCGTTTCTCGGCATTTGGCAACCATTCTGCATTAAAATTTATGAATTTTTCAAACAAAATGTCATCATCACCCACCTCTTCTTCTAACTCATAATCATTATCATCAAAGTCGGAATGGGAACCTTGATCAGATGCGGAAGATGAAGAAGCCATGAATTTCGAATGTATTTCAGTGCAGTTCTGAAAAAAAACAGAAGCAAGAGATTTTAGGGCTCGAAGGTGATTTGTGGGTTGGAGGGAAATAGATGAAATTTTCCCTCCCAATTCGTATAACTATAACAGGTGTGGGAGAATTGGGTCCATGTTGGCAGCCTGCTCAGTCGCGTAAGCTAAAACGGTCGAAAATTGGCCCGTTGGGCTCATTTATGACGAAATCGCAGGGAAAAGTAAAGTTGACGGACGAAGACCAAAATGTGAAATAGAAGAGGACAAAATCACAAAAGTATGAAAGTTATAGGACATTTTTCTAATTTTCCCGGCTTGATTGTTTATGAAATAATTTGTTCAAAATGAGTTATTTTGGTTAACCATAGTTAACTTTGAAAAGGTAGTATGGTTAGTTGTTAGTGGAGTTTTAATAATGTATTAAAATAATATTTAAAATAAAATAATTAAAATTGATTTGATGTAAAAGTAAGAGATAAATGAGTAGAAATGATTAGAAATGATAGGTAGTTAAAAATATGTGAGCTGATGAATAATGAATTAAAGTTGATGTGATGTGTAAGAATGATTAGTTTGTATTATTTAATTATATGAATAATATTAAAGATAGTAGGGTTAAGTTAAAGTTAGGTTAAAATTTGAGTTGAAATAAGAGTAAGTAAATTAATCCACAAACAAGCAAGCCCTAAATGTATTTCAATGATTTAATTTAATATAATTTAATATGTTCAACATTTTGTTGCCGCTATACTACCAAATGTGTAACGGGCTATTGGAGGATATGAAGATAGGTGTCACCATTCACCGCCCCTAGTTTATTACTACGTACCGCTCAATTACCATTTTATTCATTTAACACTTTCATTTCTCTCTTTTACACTCTCTCTACCTCTATTTCTTAACCTCTCACTTTTGTTTTTTTGTTTGTTTCAACGTCAAAAAAATTCTGAAAAAATGTCACGACAATGCGTGGGCCTCGGCAAGGATTCGATTGCCGGCAAGGTACTTTTTTTACATTTTTAGAAATTTTTACGAATTTTTTTTAACTGCGTCCACTTCCGGACGTCGCTGCCAGACGCGTAGGGTACTCCGGCCGAGGAAGGCGAACGAACATGGGTGCGACCTGTATTTGTGTTGGGTCGCGCTCGGGGTCGTCAACAAAGAACGGCCAGACGATCCCCTTCCCGGTCGCCATCGTGGGCCGAACACGGATATACGTGTCCGCGTGCCGGACACAACTTTTTTAATATTTAATTAATTATATAATAAATATAAAAAAAGTAAATAATAAATATATGATTAGAAAAATAAATAATAAATAAATAAATATACATAATTAGAAAAAAAATATATTTCTTCATTAAGAAAAGTAGATAATAAATATTTATATAATTAGAAAAATAATAACAATATATATATATATAAAATATACAATTTTTGAAAAAAATATTTAAAAAAGTATATTTTTATAATTAATTGAAAAATTTATATATATAATTTATATGAAGTTTGAAAAAAAATATATTTTTATAATGATTTAAATAATTACACATTAAAAAAATATTTATATATATTAAATTTAAAAATAGTTAATTTAGATAAATTATAGTTTAATAGTTATTAAATAAATGTTACTTATAAATAATATATTATATATGTATATATAATCATCTTGTGTAAATATTATTAATAAATAGTTAAAAATATATGAATTTAAAAATTGTGTTTACTAATTAAGGGCTTGATTGTTTATGAAAGAATTTGTTCAAAATGAGTTATTTTGGTCAACCGTATTTAATTTTAAAAATGTGATATGGTTAGTTGTCAGTAGAATTTTAAGAATGTATTAAAATAATATTTAAAATAAATTGATTAAAATTGATTTGATATAATTGAAAGTAATTGGAAATGATAGGTAGTTAAAATTATATGAGTGGATGAATATTGAATTAAAGTTTATGTGATGTGTAAAAATGATTGGTTTGTATCATTTAATTATATGAATAATATTAAAGATAATAAAATTTAGTTAAAGTTGAGTTAGATTTTGAGTATGAAATAAAAATGAGTAAAATAATTCATAACAATCAAATCCTTTTCAATTAATTTATTAATTTAGACTCAAATAAGTTCAACTTTAATTTATGATTTTTAAACTTTTTGAAATTATAAAAATAAACGAATTAATACTCAAATTTTTAAAAGTCTTGAAAAATTCAAATAAAATTTATCACAAACAACTTATGAAAAATCCCGAATGGATATGTAATGGAATTAGCTTTGACACATGCTTGTGATTAAATTACTACTTCCAACCCAAATCCAAGAACGCTTGGATGAGATGACTTGAGTCTCTTCCAGCTTAACCAGTGGTCTCGTGTTCAAGCCTTGAGAATGCAGCAGTGTTAAAAACTCTTGAGGGAGAGATTTGCCACCCTTGTGGTCCTAGCTACCCGGCTCGATTCCGGATTAATCAGTTCTCTTGTGGATTCGAAAACCGGAAGGTCCTGTACCAAAAAAAAAAAATGCTACTTCCAAAAATTTGACCAAAATTACGTCACACACTTTGAATAGCAAAAGGATTGACCATAGTTTGTCTCTATCCATGCACGATATCTATATTTACTATAGCTTCTCGTCCATATCCATTTTCTATCAACTCTTGATCAGACCATAGTCTTTATACACATCTGTTCTTCCCCAAACAAAAATTAAAACAATTATAGCAATATTCTCGTACTAAAAGAAAAAATGGTTGATGAAGGCCAAAAACCCCATGCAATACTAGTAAGCTACCCTCTCCAAGGCCACGTCAACCCGTCCGTACACCTGGCCATCCACCTAGCTTCTAGAGGCTTCACCATCACCTTCATCAACACCCAATCCATCTACCGCCGCATCGCCGCCGCCTCCTCCTCCTCCTCCGGCGACATCTTCGCCGGAGTCCGCCGCTCGTCCGGGCTCGACATCCGGTACGCCACCGTGTCGGACGGGCTTCCGGTCGGGCTCGACCGTGCCCTCCACGCGGAGCAGTTCGACTCGGCCCTCTTGCACAAGCTGTCGGCCCACGTGGAGGAGGCTGTCGAGAGGATCGTGAGGGACTCGAAACCGAGCGTCACTTGCTTGATTGCCGACACGTATTTCGTGTGGCCCGGGAAGTTAGCCAAGAGATACGGGCTATCGTACGTCTCGTTTTGGACGGAGGCTGCTTTGGTTTTCACTTTGTATTACCACATGGACTTGTTGAGGTTAAATGGCCACTTTGGTTCTCTTGGTTAGTATCTCCTTTCCCTCCATAAATCGAGAATTAGAAAAATGAGCTAACACAAATCATTAGAAAAATGAGCTAATACAAATCAAGATTAATGCAAACCGAAATTTGTATGTACTAACATGAACGGTCTGACCGTCAGACAAGCGAGACGACGAGATCAACTACATACCAGGAGTCCAATCCATCAAACCAAAGGACTTGACTTCCTTCCTCAAACAAGCGGACACGACAACACTCAACCACCAAATCATAAACCGAGCATTCGAGGACGTAAGAACAGCAGAACTCGTCCTATGCAACACCGTCCAAGAGCTCGAGCCCGAAACAATCTCAACTCTAAACCAAAAAATCCCCTTCTTAGCCATCGGTCCCATCCTCTCCGACACCGACATATCCACCAGCCTCTGGCCCGAGTCCGACTGCACCAACTGGCTCGACTTTCGGCCCCGTGGCTCGGTCCTGTACGTCTCGTTCGGCAGCTACGCGCACATTGACAAGAATGACCTAACGGAGATAGCTCGCGGCCTTCTCCTTAGCAACGTCGACTTCTTGTGGGCCCTGAGGCCCGGCATTGTGGGCCCGTACGAGGGAAGCCCGCTTCCGGAGGAAGCCCGAGGAGGCCGCCACGGGCTGGTGGTGGAGTGGTGCTGCCAGAGGCGAGTGCTGGCCCACGAGGCGGTTGGGGGTTTTCTGACGCACTGCGGATGGAACTCGGTGCTCGAGAGCATTTGGCACCGAGTGCCGATGCTGTGCTTCCCTCTGTACACGGACCAGTTCACGAACCGAAAGCTAGTGGTGGACGATTGGGAGATCGGGATCAATTTATGTGATAAAGAGAGGGTAGACAGGTTTGAAGTTGCCGAGAATCTCGGAAAACTGATGAATGAGTTTAGACTTAGAGTTGGTGAAATCGGGAAAGTGAAGCGTGTGCTCGAGAAGGCCTTAGCGGACGGTGGATCGTCCGAGAAAAATATGGGCGTGTTCATTAAGAAAATGCAAGATAAGACGTGCAAGAAATGACTAATGAGGAACATGAAGAAGAAGGTGTTGATGATGGTGTTGTAAGTTGTCTAATTATGTAAATGAATGTTGTAATCTTTGAAGTCCTATAGATTAATGTGTGATCTGGAAAGCATGTTTGGTTGAAGTACTGCAGATGCTTGAATCTTGATTTGGATTCATCAGATTCCTTCCTTCCATAGAAGTTTCTACTTATTGTCCATAAAAGTAGGTTTTGATTTGGAGAGCATGCTTGGATATATATTTGTTTTTGTTTTGATTTGGGTTGGTTAAATTTGAAAAAGTAGGTATGGTTAGTTGTTAGTGGATATAATAAAATAATATTTAAAATAAAATAATTAAAATTAAATTGA